AAGATAGATTCCAACCAAGCAACTACTAACCTCAACAGTCAAACTTTAGAACATTATCTGCATTGAAGCCAATGTTTGGTCCGGAAAAACTATGAACTTTTCACATGTTCTGTCCATGGCCAAGATCTGCAAGATCTTTATAAAGTCCCTTAGTAAAAAGTATCAAAGACCCTTTACTCAGAATCAACAAAAAAAACTGCCAGAGGCTGATATAGAGAGCTATGCCTACAGAATAGGTTTCGATGAAAGTTCATAATGCGTATAGAATTATAGCTGAAGATAAAGATCCAAACTTCAAAGTAATTGGCTCACTTTAAGATGGATTCCAACCAAGCAACTACTACAATGTCAAACTTTAAAACATTATCTGCATTGAAACCATGTTTGGTCCAGCAAAACTATGAACATTTCACATGTTCTGTCCAAGGCCAAGATCTGTAAGATCTTTAGAAAGACCCTTAGTGAAAAGTATCAAAGACCCTTCACTCAGGATCAACTAAAAAAACTGCCAGAGGCTGAACATGTGAAAACTGCCAACCTACAGAACTAGTTTCCATGAAAGTTCATGATAAGCTTAGAACCATGAAAGTTCTTGGGATTGGAAAAAGCTATAGAAAGATAGAGACTTACCTGGGGTAAACTAGGGTGTTTTGAATTGAATCTATGGAGAAGAAGTTAGGAAAGCAAAACAATATTTGGAAGCTGTTGGAAGATCCAAGTCTCGTCATTCAACAGTTAAAGTTTTGTCTTTTATGGTGGTACAGGTGAAGTTTACTTTTTCGGCTAAAACTTAGCATTGATTGACGGGATGGCTTGTCCTCTTGTTTTGGATCAAGACGAGGACGAAGGCCCAATAAAAGCCAAAATGCTTAAATGAAAGCCCATTTCAAGCCCAACAGTTCGACCCGAATGCAAAACGGATCTAAGTATAGATTCTCCGATTTTCCAAGACCTTTTTCAAATTCAAAAGCAGAGAAAAGCATAAGAAAAAATGGAGGGAAATTGCTCGAGCGATCTGCTGAGGAAAATCAAAGGTTTCGTTTGATAATGGTTTCAAATTCGATAATTTTCTTCGTTCACTTTCTCAGGAAAATCAAAATTTTCTGTCGTTTTCCTTCTCTTCGCAGAGTTTGCTCTGTCGATGTTGGAGGACTTGAGCGAAGGACGATCCCCGTTGATTTTCATCCAGCGGTTCAGAACCTACTGCACCAATCTTGATTCAAATTGGTTCGAAATAAATTTTAATCTGACATTTAATGAGATCATATTTCAATTGATCTTCTCGAAAAGGATTGTTTAATGCGTTAGTATCGGTATCAATGCAGCTCTTGCAGCTCCAATAAGCCTAATGGACATGAAATTCTTACATTTAAAAAGGAAAGCCATGTGCGTAGAATTGGTAAGCTAAGAATTACTACCATTACCCTGCTTCTTTGTTATGTGGTGATCGTGTTAGTAATTTGAATTTCAAGTTGGAGAATTTGATTAATTGTTTTAATCTCTTTTTCAGATGCGTTGTTGAGGGTGTTGCTGATAGTGCAGCAACTTCTTCAACAAAACAAACATGGGTCAAAGAGAGATATTTATTACATGCATCCATCAGTATTTACAGGTTCGTTTCAGTTACCATTTTTGAAAGAGTTGCTTGAATACTTGCTAGAAGCTATAAGATTACTGCCCTTTAATTTAAAGCCATATACAAACATGAGCATCGTGTTAGTGTCTTTGCAGGGGACAGTGACTTGTTTGCTAATGTTATTACTCTTCTGCTGTTTATGAGACTTGATTTGCAGTTATGATATTGATGAAGCTTAAACTTCTGTCTAGATCAATTTGTTCTTTTGAGGTTTGTTCATGTATTTTGATGCAGATCAGTCGGTTGTAGATAGAGCAATTAATGACATATGCATCCTTCTGCAATGCAGTCGACACAATCTAAATGTGGTTGGTAACCTATACTGTCAATGAGGAATATGTAGAAGTTAGAATGAGAGGTTATATGATTATAATCTCATGCATCACATTCCAGATTTGATTTTATTGCAGTATTTGTTTTTGTTCACAAAAGATCAAAATTGGCTCTAGGATTTTAGAGATTTGATAAAGTCGTGAATAGAAATTTACTTTATTTGAGAAATTTAACGCATGTTCTTTTGGCAGGTTTCTGTTGGAAGTGGGTGAGTTTTCTGGTCATGCTTAAAATTTGGAAGACTGAAAAACAATACTACAACTTATTGCTGACAAGTTAATTTGTCTTCAAGTAATGCATTTCAAGTTCTTTAGGCATTTGGTTTATGTATGCTCTTGATTGGTGAGTGCTGTACTTTTTAATCATTGGTCGTTCATAAGAGTTCTCTGCATGTCAAACATGAGTTGTTTAAACTTTAGGATTTGATAACTTAATAGAGTTGTTATCCTCAACTGTATGGACAACCTTTTGCACCCTGGTTTATAAGAATTTGAGGTAAAATTATGAGAGTGAGATTTATATATGTTTATTTCATTAGCAAACAGAGCAGGAAGAGCAGTTTCATGAGCTGATGAATAGTGCACTGGTTATATGGATTCTAAATAAAAATGGTAGCGACCTTTTTAGACCTTTTCTCAGCTGGCAGGTTTTACTTAATGCAATTAATTGTGGAGTCGGCTTATATCACCACGATGCCATGTTTCATATTTGCTAATTTCTGCCTTTTTTAAACATTAATTCAAGTTATGCATGCTTGTATTATTTCTCCTAATATCTATCTATCTGTTTATATCTATTATAGGTTGGTGATGGGATGGTTAAGATTCTTTGAAGCAGGAAGGAAATTCGATTGCATAAATAGCCCCAACACTGTGAGAATGGAGGCACCGATTTTTTGTTAGTGGAATCATACTCTAAATATGTCAACAGATATCTGATTCATGTTTTATCTGTTCATATCTGATTCACATTGCAGGCCCACACAATTCCTGTGCTTGTTGAGGATGCTAAAGGTATCTAATTAACTAAGTGTTAAGCAAGGGGATAATATCAATAAGATCTCTCTCATTTACCCTGAGTACTGTCACATATGGTCAAGAAGACATGTTCTCAGATATAAGCTTTCCTTGATTACTGCATGCAGATCTTGTTAGTGTTGCCCAGTACATACTGGTTGTAGAGAAAGAATCAGGTATATTGTTTTTTGCAATAATCATTGTTTACCTGAAAGAATGGTCAAAATGTTATTGACTAAATCTTTTATTGAATCCTTGGTCAGTGTTCCAGCGTTTAGCAAATGACCAGTTTTGTAACAAAAACCGTTGCATTGTCATCACAGTAAGCAAAAACTTGGCTGAACATCACCTTTTCTAAATTGTTTAATATTTATACTCATTCTTCTTAAAATCTTTCTTCTTCTTCAGGGAAGAGGCTATCCAGATGTTCCCACGAGAAGGTGAAGTAAAGAAAAAAAATAGAAAAAGAATTTCCCAAATATTTAGAAGGAAACGGAGGATGTCTGTGTGTGGCAAACTGGCAATACATGCCACTCTGATGCTATTGGAGTGTATCTTTCTGCCTTTGTTTAATTAGATGCACATCTTACTCTTTCAGGTTTTTGCGACTCCTCGTTGACAAGTTATGTCTGCCTGTTTATTGCTTGGTAGATTGTGATCCATATGGCTTCGACATCCTGGCCACTTACCGGTTTGGTTCAATGGTTGGACTTCTTGATTGTATAGTAATATGTTTTTACCTGTTGTTTTCCTCGAAATTTCTACTCAAGCAACAAAGCAAGTAGATTGATTCTGAGGCTGAGTGCCCTTTAGTAATTCAGCATTATGACATGAATCCTTTCCTTTTTCCACCCCATTGAATCTGCTTCTTAGCAAATGGCCTATGATGCCAAATTGCTACGAGTCCCAGAGATCCAATGGATTGGAGCTTTTCCTTCAGACTCTGAGAACTATGATCTTCCTCGGCAATGTCTGCTGCCTTTGACAACAGAAGGTGATACAGATCCTGACAGTGGCATCGCTTTTACGTTTCCTTTTTCTAGTTTGTTTTGAGATTCCGATACTTCCTGCCAGATAAGAGGAAAACTGAAGCCATGTTAAATAGATGCTACCTTCACCAAGAAGTGCCTGATTGGAGGTAAATTCACTGACATCTTTATCTTAAGATATAATTCATCTATGATTTCTTTTGCTCTTCTTGCATGTTGAAGGTCCGAACTAGAGCTGATGCTGCAAAGAGGAGTGAAATTCGAGATCGAAGCATTATCAGTTCACTCACTTTCCTTCTTGTCAGAGGTGTATATTCGGTCCAAGATCCAGGAAGGAACATATATCTGTCACATTTGACAGTTGGTAACTACATGTAACCCCTAAGGTGCAAATTGCAATAACTTTACAGTAGGTCGAAGCATGATATTCCTTTACATAGATTACTCAAGAATGTGTCAAAATGATCTATTAAAAGACTACTCCAAATATAGTTGTGCGTTGGGTTGAAGGGTACCCTTAACAGATTAAACTAAGTTAACAGTGTATTTTTCTTCTATGCTATGCTCTTTTTTTTTTTTTTTGTTTTTGAACTGATTTGCTTATTCTTCTATGCTATGCTTGTTACTTAGTCTGTCTCTTTTTCTTTGTCCATATTTAATTTTTGGAATGTGATGTAATGAAATTTTTATTTAATTTTCGTGAAAGTCAAAGAGAGAAACATTTAGAGACGGAAGGAGTATAGTAAAAAAGTTAGTTTACTATTGGGTATGACCAGAATCACCTTGGCCAACAGAATGTGAATGATTTTTGGAGATGAAATTATAATTAAGGAGAGATTGCAGGAATTATTTGAAGGAATAATGAACAGTATATATATAGTTTAGGAAATTAACTTGTTTACATATGGAAGAAATTTGATCCATTTTTATTTACTTGCCTTATTTGATTAATCTTGTTCCTCCCCCTCATATATACCATTCTAATTTTCCTAAATGTGAAACCTCAAATTCACCAAGGAATTCCATGAAAAGAGTTGCTTCCATGGAATCCCGAGCTGAAATGGTAGATGATTTTTGTTTTTATATTTTTAATATTTTCTTCTTATTTATATTTCATTTCACTTTGTGTTAAACCATTTCCTTTTCTTGGATTTCATTTTTCTGCAGTCTTGTGTTCTGAAAGTGAATATCAATTGTGAGACATGCAAGAAGAAGGTGATGGATGTGTTGCAAAATCTCCATGGTACTTTCCCATTATCCCATAAAATAAATAGAATCTTAGGAAAATCATATGCTTGAAAGGAAGTGACATTTTCCCTTTTTTTTTTATGGATTTAGGGGTATACTCTGTTGTTATTGATGCAGAACAAGGGACAGTAAAAGTTTCAGGAAAAGTGAATCCGTATATAATCTTTAAGGTATTTGAAAAATATGGGAAGCATGGAGAGGTTTCTTGTGTTAAGTTTGAAGGGGAAGTGAGGGAGCCAATCTACTACCATTATTATGGACGAAATGGGTACATTCCTCATATATCACCTCACACATATCCACTTATGGGAGGGCCAGACAATTATTCATGGTATGATAGACACTATTACGCTCCACCACCGCCACCACTACCACCACCACCACCACCACCATACCTACCTCCTCCTCCACCACCGCCACGACAGCCACCACCACTGCAACCAGTAATTAACTATTTTCCACCTAAAGCACCACCAGTGGTTGCACCCCCTAAGGAGATGGATCATCAATGGTGCAAAATAATGTAAAAGGTGTTATTACTAAGCTTGGTTTCTTAATTTGCTTATGGATATTATATATAGTATACAACAATGATGCAATTTGGATTTGGTCTTTGAATAGAAATCTCTGCTTGTTTTACTGTTTCCTTGAGCTTGCTAAATGTCATGGGACAGGTTTGAGTACTCTATTAGATACAGATCCCATTACATAAGATTCAAGTATTCTGTATTTGAGTTTGGGACAAATTTAAGTAGGGAATTTGTTACTCATATCAGGTTCGATATTACCCTTTGAAGATTCAAACATGATTAGTTTTCATTTGAATAATATCAAGTACCCATACTCTAAACTTGTTTATCTATATTTTATTAACTATAAATAAGTATAATTTGTATATGCTTGCAAGGGGAATAGCCAAATAACCTTTACAATCAAAATTAGGTATTTAGCATATCGTGTCTATTAATTCGACTAATGTTTAAATAAAAAATTTAAAATATTAATAAAATAATTATAAAGTTTGGATATCTTGATAAATAATAAGATTCGAATATAAATATTTTAAAAATAGCAGATAACTTGCCTGTTACCATTCTTACTTATATCTAAAATTTAATTTGCATAACATAATGGATAACTTTAAGAGGGGCCAAAGTGCAAATTAAATCAGAAAGAAAGAACACATCACTGAATAAGACTAATGCGTACACTCAGCTTTCCATCATTAACTCCTTGTCTGTATCATTTCATGCTGGAAGATGTATACAAGTACCAATTGTACAGCACGTACAGAATTGGTATTACCCACATTTCCATGTGTGGTAAGGAAGCAACAAGGACCAGAATTGAATTGTATTTCCAGAATTGGGATATGATTCAGTAAATTATGCGGAACAGACCCTTTATGGAGCTTTGATTTCTTGTCCATATTCTGCCATTAATATCCATTTCGACAGACAGTCATGAGAGGGTGATGCTGCTTTGTTTGCTTATCTGATAGACTCTTCTCAACGCCAGGTAAATGATTGATCTGCAATGTCTCTCAAGATATATGTTCTGATACATCTTTTCTTGCTCCTTTTGCTCTGTCCATTGGGATAGGTTATAAGTTTGCATGGGCCATTGCCATTGGTTTCTAGCTGATCAGAGACCCTACTTTATAATTGATCATGCGTGCATTGCATTGAACCAGAATAATTTCTATGCTATTATCATTCAATTGGAACCCTTGCTGGCTTTGATGTTTGCCTCCCAAGTTCCACTTGTATGTGGCTCACGTGGGGAGCTTGAATTCCTGATGGAAAGTGAGAAATGCTGAAATCCATCAGTACCTCTCAGTATTTGTTCATTGCAATAATGGAGATCACTTGTTGTTTTCTTGCAGTGATTGCTGCACTGTTTCCAAACAAAGAGTTAAGGGTTTAGTTGGGTCCAAAACTGTTCTTTTGCTTGAAGATTGGTGAAGTTGGTCATTAAGAGGGATGATGGTGGGCCACTCTCTGTGATAAAAGTCCCACCCAAAGAGAGATGGGTCCTTTCTAGATCTTTCACATTCACTGATACACAGATTTGTGGTGATTGAAAACATTTTCCCATTTCATTTTTTGGACATTGGTTTTACATTGAAGAGGACTCAAGGTGGGGAAATTGGCTGATTTGTGATGTAAATCCAAATATGGGAGGCATTGAAATGAAAGCTCCTGAGATTCCAGCCACATAGGTGTAAAGGGATCACAGATTCCTTGGTCACTTTCCACTGATTGTACAATGTTTTTAACCGCTGACAAATTTCAATCTATTTTTACAAATTTTTGTGTCTTTTGGCTGTAACAAATATATTTTCTTCAGCTTTTTAAACTTGTATTGTTCTTCCTTAGATGTTCTTTTTTGTCAATGAATCATTGAACTATTCCATGGAATCCATCATTTCTGCTACTGTGAAAAAGCATATTGGCTGAAACTGCACCCACATATAAAAGTTTTCAAGCTTTTTTCTTTGGACCCCAAAAAGGAGTTGCCACATGGCATTACTGGAAGATTCGGAAAACCCTGGTAATAATCAGGATCCTGAAAGAGGGTTTGTGATCAAATGCTGATGAGTGGTAACAAGTGTCAGCTAGCTTTAATGGGGTTCAAAGCAGCAGCAGCAGCCTAGCTAAGCAAAAAAACCGCCATTTTCCATGGGAAAATTCTTAGCTGGATTTCATTTCTATGTTCCAGGGAAATGAATCATTGTTTGGCAGATGGATTGAAACTATATGTCATTATGTTTGTCCCCCATAATTTGCCATTATTTTTCCATGAATTTCAATGGAAAAGGATTACCCTTTTTGAGTTTTGTAGAAGTCCTTAGGACACAGGATGATAGTAGTCAATTGGTCGGCATGAATGGCCCAATTTAAACCAATTATTTCTTTCTCAGTTACGTGACTTCGAAGCTATATATATCAGCATAAAGATTTCTGATATCTGTTAGGTATATAGCAGGAGAAAAACAAGCATTGAATTCAGAATTATGAGCTCCATTACTTTATCTTGATTCAATCATAAAATCGATAAACTTTATTTACACCCTCGTAATTTTAAATTTTTTCTTATTATATTACGGTTTCGTTTTTTATAATTAACATCTCGTGAATAACTTTTGCTATTATGAGAGGTGAGATTGTTAATTTTACTCAATAAAGTCATTAAAATATCAACAACCTAACTCTTTACGGGAAAGAAAACCACAATATACTATGAAAGAAAACGTTAAAATTAAGAAAAGGTTAAATGAAGTTTACCTTCATTAAAAAAACTGTCAAATGATGATTGAAACTAATTTTACCCTATAAGTATAGGTGGGGGTGGTTTGTGCTGATAATGATGAGCCTTAACCCACAATTTTTCTTCAACCTACCTTCAAAATTTGTCTATTTTTCCCAAAATAAGTTCCTAAGTCAAGGGGGAAAAATATCCCATGTGTTGAAAATCTAGATCACCCCTGGGAGAAGCAAAACAAGAAATTCAACAAGTAAATCAATTACTTACCCTCTGTCTAGAGTAAATCTACAGCTATAGCAGGGTTTGTGCTTCTGAACTTTGATAATCCAAAAAGGCTGGTCTTAATTGCCATCATTTTCACGGGGACCTTTCTGCCTAATACAAATGGAACCCATAAATTAATTATCATTTAATAGCTTGAAATAGATATTGAATAGACCTGATACCAGATTACAGCCATATGATACGTAGAAAGGCTTGGAGTTTCCCCTCTCAGTCATCATCCTGGTGTATCAGGAGGTTACGTCTGATTGGTTAATTTGTAATCAGTGAGATCCTGAATCAATTCACGACCTGGTTCTGCCACCATGAATTTTCAATTTCTCTTTCAACTTTGAACAATTGCTGTCAAATTACCCAGAAAAATTCAGATTATGAATATATATATATATATATGTATATCTGGTTTGGTTCTTTATCAGAAGATTGCCTTGGAAATGGAGAATTAGAACTCATAAAGCTAAAGATTGTAGTTACTAAACACATAATTTACATGAACTGTAGCCTGATCTACTGAAAGAACAAGAAATTTTACTACACTCGGGAGGAAAAGAACAGAAGAAACTTAATGAGCTAGACTACCAAAACTAGTATACTAGCATTTATGTACACAAACTATAGGGAGAAACAGGAAGTACAAACATAGAAATTAAATAGACTCTCATCTCAAGATGATCCTTAAACCATGACTAGTTGTTGTCTAGCTTCGATTCTTAATTCTTCCTTCATCTTTCTGATAAATTCATCAAACCTTTTATTCAGCTCTTCTGTACTCAATACTCTATTTCCTTCTACCAGTTCTACTACTTCTTCTTCTCTTTCAGGATTTTCATCTTCTCCAAATTCTTGTACAAAGAAGTCAACTTCTGACCCTTCTACCTCTGCTTCTTGAACAAAAGCAGCATTTCCTTCTTGTTCAGCAGTTGTCATCAAGTCCCATTTTTCTCCATGTTCTTCTTCCTCTTCCAGAGTGAAGTTTCCTATTTCTCTTTCTGCTGCTGCTGCTTCTTCTTCCTCTTCTTGTCTTCCTTCCATCAAAATGCCGTTTTCTAGTGCCTCATCAGAACTCCCCAAGGCAACTTCCTTCTCCAACAATGGTGCTTTTGGCTCCAAGACAATTGACTCGGATTGTGGAACATCCTCATAGCTCTTAAAAGACTGATCATCTGTCAGATTATGCTTGGATGAAGAACTGATTAATCCTGAATATTTTGCAAGGAAAACAAGAAGTCCATTGCAAAGAAGGAATATGCAGTTCTTATCTATAGCATGGCTAAACAACTGGAAAGGGAGGGTATTATGGAAGTTGAAGTTAAAGGAATGGAGCAAAGAAAGCCAATATGAATGAGAAAAGAATAAGGAAAAAACAGAAACTGATAGAACCAACTGAGTCAGTTTTCTGTGAAATTGAGATTTCATAAACTGACTCAAAGATTGCTGCTTCTGGTTTCCTGTTGGATCCATTTCTTGAACCTCTCTTTTGGGTGTTGGAGTTTGAACTTGGAACTTGGAAATGACTTGAAATTGGGAGAGAATGCTATGAGAATTTGCAGGTTGGTAATGGTATGCCAAAGATCCAAGTGGCCCTGCCCTTTTTATAGAGGGATCAGATTGATTTTCCAAAAGAACCCTTGTTTGCATGCAAATCAGAGCCACAAAACAACCCTTTAAAACCTGAAGTCTTTAAGGCAAGGAAACCAACCTTTAAGATTAGTGTGATTTGTAGCAAATTCAAGGTTGCCATATGGAAGGGGAGGGCAGAAATTTTCCTTTTACTTGATAATTTGGAACTTTCTAGCTGTCAACTCTTTGGCCAAGAGTCATCTTATTGTTTACCAATTTCCTATACGATTGAAAGAGAGAGGGTTAGATGTGGCAATCAATGGCAGGTTGGGACCAAAATCCATTAGAAGAAGATAGATTCACATTCAAAGTTACCTCTCCCCCATTAAAGTCCATTGAGTAATGGTTCTTCTTTTTTTCCTTTTTCTTTTCCCTATCTTCCTTTTTCCCCCAAAATTCAGACACTGAAGCTTTCTCATGACACCTTTCTTCTACTTTCTTGGTGGGGTTTTTTGTATGGATTCTTTCTATGTTTTTTGTCAATTGGGTGGCTAATTATACCATAAGATAATAAAATTTTTCATCATTTTACACCTAATCTCTTCTATATGTATAGAGCTGCATGTTTCTTCAAGAATAAACTACATTAAATTGCTAGATTATTGATGCTATAATTTTTAAGGCTACTATATTGTCGTGAGTAAAGTCAAAAAAATTTTTTTTTTTTGCAATAATTCCATAGTAACATTATTCATAATTAATACAAGTGTTCACAAATTTCTGCCACGTTTCTTTGTTTTCATTTTCGTGACAAGGGTCTTTTGCTTCATGTCTTGTCTTATGTCTTGTACGTATGCATATAGGTGTATGATGATTAACGTAATAATTTACCTCTAAAATAGAGATTTAAACTATTAAACTTCTTTTACTTTCGATTTAATAAACCAAAGGCATTAAATCCCAGATAAAAGAAAATGATTTCCCTTCAATAAACTTTTTTCCATGAAACCTAATCAAATGGTGAAGAAGCAGTGGTCCTAAGGGAAGTTTTTCCACCATGTGAGGCACGGCTCTTGCTTTTTCTTTCCACTCTCCCTGGAGTTCCTCAGAAATTTCTTTTTGTTTTCTTATGATTTGTCACCTCTTTTGTTTACTTCTCTTGCTTTGCTTGACATGATTTCTTGTAGCATCAAGCTTCCTTTTTCCTTTTCTGGTGAGTACACGAAATTCATCTCTTCTGCCTAACAACAAAAACTCGTCTGAAAGTGATGCAGAATGAGAATATTTTCTGATCTAAAGTTGGTTGGTCATGGCAGACAGGGCAAAAGAAGAGGTTTTCTTCAAGTTTTCTGTTAGTTGTTCTATGTGATCATTGTCTTGTACCCGGAACTCTTGTTCATTACCAACAGAAAAGTAATCATTTGGTTTACCAGAAACCTGTATAGTGGTAGGTATAGTTAATGGAGAAATTTGGTTTCCATACTATTAGATAATGATTACCAGGTAAAAATTTTCGACGTTGTAAGTTTTGTATTGTGAAGGGACTGATTAGTGAAAGATCGAAAAGATACGAGATCAAGTGAAATTACATTGAACAGATCATATGATTTACGACGGATTAATTCCTGATAATTATATATTTAAACACCTAATTAAACACATAATTTTCTATACAAATCATGCTTCAGATAGCATGATTATCACACAGGTTAATAGGTTCACATCAAATTAAGCATCAAGCCGTCAAAAGACTTCTAACAAGGGATATGATTGATTATATATATAGCAGAATCTGCAAAATGAAAAGCAGCTGTAGCAGCAGCATCTCAAAGTTGATCAGGCCAGAGAAATGCCCCCATGGCAAATGCTCTCTTCTCATCAACACTGCCATGGAAGCTGAACCCGTACTCTTTCAGCAGCATGTCCACCCTCCATTCTTCCATCTTCTCGTAATCTGATTTCGAGTATCGAGGGTAATGAACAGGCATCTGGAAACCATTTGGGTAGTCTTCCTTACTGATTTTGATGCTGCAGGCAACCCCTCCATCTGTTTCCTTGCAACCATTGACACTTCCATGGACATTAGGGCATCCTACAACTGCCTTGGTCTGCAGGTTGCCGCCTTCGGCGTGGCCGAAAACTTGAGTGAATGCAGAACTGAGAAGCCATTTCAGAGCCATATCGTCCCTGGACTAGTGGAGCCAGAAAACTCAAAGCTCTACCGCAAAGAATAGCTGTATTTATATCCAGACAGGACCAGTCCTCATGGGGCATGGTATACTCAATTATTTGCATGAATTATATCTAGAAAGACACATAAGAAATATCTCTAGGACTCTATCCTGAAGGTGTTTACTGCCCTTTTTCTGTAAGAAATTTGCATATTGGCCGATCATAATTGGCCACCTTGAAGGTTTCATTAATTGTGGTGGTTCTTAGTCGCTTTTGATCTTTGAAATTTCCAGCTTTTAATGTTATTTTATGTTGAAGTTGCCCACCGGAGATATTCAAAGTAGTTGTCATTGACGTGAAATATTGATTTTGAAGTTGATAGATCAAGAGCTCCTGCAAAATACGACAACATTAGTTAAATTCAACGACTGGGTTTTCTTTTCATAAGAACAATGATAATAATTTTTGTATCAATTAATATTAATACATAAAAAAAAATTAATTCTGTCACAATTTCGAGCGTTGCACATATAAATTGATCATCGACACATATATTAGGTCTAGTTTCAGTCATTCCTGTGACTAATTTGAATGGCACTCAATGCTTCATGAATCTTTGTGGCTATCATTCACCATAAAGTTTTCTCACATACATTTAATTTCATGATCTACTTCACCAACAACTATATATCCATTGTCTTGGTTTTCATAAATATAGATAAGATTGCCAAAATATTCAAGTTACAAATTGTTATCGAAATTTAGTGAAAAAATTGACAAATCGAAACTTATATCGTTTTTGAATTAACGGCTTTGTTTCTTTTATGTAAAAAAATCGATAATTTAAGTCAATAATGTCGAATCGAATGGATAAAAATTCGATCTAGTGCCAAGCTAATTTGGCTTGTCACTATGATAGGATGAAGATAGATATAATATCCATGTAATCTTTAATTTTCTTAAAAGCTTTATTCTTTGCCCTTATTTAAAAGAACAAAGATAATATTTCGTGATTAAATTTTGTTAATATTACGTGTAAAATTAAAAATCAAATCATCCGATAAATAGAAATGTTGTTGTTAATTTTTTTCTTTCGGATGTAATTCATTATCGAATTTTAAGAGCTATAACTAAAGAATGCCTAACAACACTCATAATTCATGGCTCGATATAAGTAGTTAGTGCAAGATATGATACAAGTTTAATCTCGATCATGAGTTATTATTCATTTAAGTTTGATATAAATAATTGGTATTATTTTTATTTTTAATATTTGCAAGATATTTAAATTAATTTTTTTTTGTTATAAAATAATATATGAAAAGTAAAGAATACTATGAAATAATGAAAATTAAATATTTAAAAATAAGAAAAATAGTTTAAGTCGGCTACCAAACAGCATATTTCCCCCATTCCTATTCTAGACCCGAACCAGAAATTACCCAAAACCAACTTCCAAACGCAGCTCTTAAAGGCGGTGTCATCACGCCCTTTCGATCTGTAAAACCCTAAAACATTTCTAAAACCTCAATCCAACAAAAAGAGAAGCCCCGGAATTGAAAACCCTTAGGAAGAAATGTCTTCGGTTATTCTTCGATCTCGAATAATTTCGAGTAGTTGCAGATCAAAGATCATTAATCGAAGGGTTTATAGTTCAGGAGTGGTTTCGTCTTCTTCTTCTTCAAATCCTTCTAAAGAAACGATCATTTCTTCACAATCCATTCTCTCCGATCAGTCACCGGCTCCTCCTCCGCCTCCGGCGCCGGAAGCTTCCCCGCAGGTTTCGGGAAGGAAAGGTTGGAGCTTTCTCAAGTACGGACTTACCGCAGCCGTTACTGGAGCTATTGGCTATACTTGTTATCTCTCTTATAGTAAGTGTTTGTTTGATAATGGTTGGATCAATTTGTGATTTTGTTTATGAGCTTTGTTTAAAATGTGGGTTTTTTTTAAACAAAGTGTTTAATTTGATTTGCAGAATGTTCATATGAGGAAGTAGATGAGAAGGCAAAGACATTACGGGCTGCGGCCAGTTATACTCCTAGTGAAGATGCATCTGCTGTTGATGTAAGTTTGAACCTTTTCTTTCCTTTTAGTGAATTTTCTCATTTTACCTCAGTTTTGGGAATGATGTCATGTACAATTTGGTTAATGCATGCAGCTGGTCAAGTTATAATTTGAATGTCATTCGTATGAGTTTAATGTGATCTGATGTGGTTGGTTTGACCATCTTGAACCATAGCGTAAACAGAAGTAATAGCTAGCTGCTTTGGTGTTTAAGTAATTGGTAAACTTCACGATGATTTCTTTTTCAATGTGTAGGAAAATGATTCATGTACTCACATAACAGCCGTCCATCATTGCTTCCACAGGTGATTCCTGTATGATTGATGGCTGTGATGTGATGATGTGATGAATACATCGATATCAGTTATGTGAGTATTTATATTAATGTCCTTATGGTTATGAATGCACATGTGATGTGCTTGTGTTAAGTCATAACAATGTGATATGGCCATTGTTAAGTTGGTCTTATGAGATAATTAGATATTGAAATGGTGACGGTTTGTTTTCCATATTTTGTTCAGAAATGTCAGGGCTTGCTCTACTCTGCTGCAATGACAGGTTAGGGCCTTATTATGTTTCTATTTTGCTCCTTTCTTTGTTCATATCTACAATATTCTCTACACTCTTTAGTATATATTAACCCAATCACTACAGCAATATTTTCATAACAGGGAGTTAAATTTGTATTTTATGTAAGCATTTTTTCACTTCAAGTGTTTGGGAATTTTCCTTAGAATAAATTTGGGCTACGTCATTATTAATAGGTTTTACGGGGCAACAAACAAAGTTCATTCCTTGGTGTTAATTGCTCTTTATTAAACTCAGTCAATGGTTATGATGTTGATTTGTCAACGATTGACCTGTTTACATGTTCTGCTTCTACCACTTTCTGCTCATATCTTCCTTTTTTATAACTATTCAGTTCCAGCTAAAGCACTTGAATCTTACCTGGATCTGAGGAAGTTAGTGGAAGAACATGTGCTGGTGAGTGCTGAATTTCTTTCTCTTGTTTCTGATTTTCTAGTATTTTCTGCTTATCTTTTGTTTTGTCTTCTTTACATTAGCATTAAGCCCTTCTTTTCTTCATTTCTTATAGTTTTTTCTCATATCGTAGGAATTTACTGAACCGACCTCAGATAAGCTTCTTCCTGATTTGCATCCTGCAGAACAACATGTTTTCACTCTTGTCCTAGATCTGAATGAGACATTACTTTTTACAGATTGGAAGGTAAGAATTTGACTGAAATCTATTTTCCATTTGCCTCTATAAAATAATTGTTGGTCAGAAATCAATGCAAAGATTATTGGAAAACCAACTATTTGTGATTATTTATAAGATTCATTGGATAGTTTCTTTTATGTTATTTTGATGACTGATGTTCATGTTCATACATTTGTAATTCTTTTTTTTTTTAACCTTTTGGGTTGGCAAAGCGAGAGAGAGGCTGGCGTACATTCAAAAGACCTGGAGTTGATGCCTTTTTGGAACATCTGGCAAAGTTCTATGAAATTATTGTGTATTCTGACCAGATGAATATGGTAATTTGATAATTTCCATTGTGATAACCATTTTAAATACATTATTATGGAGATAACTGATGTTAACAGCAATTTAATTTTTTGTTTGTTTTGGCTTGTGCAGTATGTCGATCCTGTTTGTGAAAGGTTGGACCCTAACCATTATATACGATTTAGGCTCTCAAGGGCTGCTACTAAATATCAGGATGGCAAGCATTATAGGGTATTTTGTAGTTGATGATTTTGCTTTGAAGCATTTCTGTTTTTGTTTTCCCCTATATAGTTTGCAGCTATAATGAGTGTTTTAATCAAGGAGATGGTATCTTTAAGAGCTTCTACTTCAAAATGAGTATTCTTGTTAATAAATAGTTCCTGTTGCACAGGATCTTTCAAAGCTTAACAGGGACCCAGCCAAGATTTTATATGTGAGTGCTCATGCATTTGATTCTAGCCTTCAACCAGAAAATTGTGTCCCTATTAAGCCGTATAAGCTTGAGACAGATGATACAGCACTTTTGGATCTTATTCCCTTTCTTGAATGTAAGTCTCCTGCTGTTTCTTTTGAACTTGCTTTTTCTTGTTTCCCTTGTTCAAATTATACATGGCATGCGTGCTAACTAGTGTAGTTGGTAGGGTGTATGGTTGATCAAATCTGTCTTACTTGATCATTTTTTTTTTTTGCTATTTTCTTTTGTTAAGTGTAACACCATCTGCTTTGGTTTGTCCACAGATGTCGCCCGCAATAGTCCAGCTGATATCAGACAGGTGTTACAATCTTATGAAAGAAAAGATATTGCGAAAGAGTTTCTTGAGCGTTCGAAAGATTATCAGAGGTGAAGTGTCTTCTCTCTTTTGTGTATTGTCAAATCTGTCTCAGATATGTGAGCGTTGTAGTTTATGATAACATTGATGAATGCTGGTGATGATGCAGGCGAATGCAGGAACAGAGGCAGCAAGGTCGTTTCTGGCGGCGGTGAGGAGAATAGTTATGTATAGTTGATGGTTGTGGATTCCGGAAATCATTCTGCAGGATGAATCAGAAGAATTGATAGACCAAGTATTGTTGAAGTTTTCAAGCTCCTTTTTGGCAGTAAAAAAAGCCCATTTTCTGATAAAGAGTTATACATTGATGAAATGCATCCTGCAGTTGCACTGCATCATTTAAATATCTGACAAAAGAACTTGTATTTTTTGTTTCTTTTGGCCGAGATGTAGGCAAGCTTCCAATTCGTTGGATCATCGATAAATCAAAATTTTGGCCCGCTTTGATTGTCACAGTTATTCATTCTTGCGAGATTCAGTTACTTTCCACGGGAAAAATCTTAGCCTAACTTTAAACCCGAGTGATTAATTTACTGATCTTTCTACCTTTTAATGACAGAGTTGTAATGCTCATATGGAACCTACTCGATCATCATTCGATGTAAGTGAGCCCGACTCTCTCTTGCTACTGAGTTAGGGTATGGTCTGTGATCGGATGCAATGATGCGACAGGAAAAGGATTTTCGTTATTTTGTTTTTGACAATTGCAACAATCTCACTCTTGTCAATCAAGACCAATCTTGTTCTTTACCAATTACGCCAGGATCATGAAAGTATTGACTAGTTTGAAGGAATGGGGTGCTTCAATTATTCTACTTCCATTGTTCTTGAACCGGCAATTGAGTTGTTCTGGCTTGACCAAATCCCTGTCTTATGGTTGGTTCACACATCTTTGTCCTGAGCCAACGGCTTTGAATGTGTAAACCTTGGGTGTTAATGGTGAAAGTCTATCCAGGCCTCTCAGCCACGAACCCAACTGCACGGCAAAGCCAGTCTGAAAGTGTATCCCACTTTGATGTTTCTTTCAGACTTTCACGACATCTTTACTGCCCTTTCCGCCTAGGTGCCAAGTATTAGGACCATAATAACTAGTTGGCAGTAACACAAATCAGAAACTCCATGGACAACTTGTCTTTGAGATTCTGACCTTTAGATGTGCATTCAGGATTAAGATCTAGCGGGAGATTCTCATTCCATGATATTTTTATAATTCTTTTTGTTTCAAATTGAATTTTCCTCTTATTATTATTTGTAATATTGTTTTTTTTTATTGAAATACCAACTTCGATAAAATAAATATTCAATTTAAAAAACAAGAAAAAGAAGAAGAGAATACTATCCAACAAATCTTATTTGTGAGTATTGTTGTGTTTCACTAGGCATTATTCATTAGTCTGGTAGATATGGTTATTACCTTATAATTTAACTCAAATCCAAAAAAATTATAAAATATTAAGAGAAAGATGTTAAAATCGAAATCGTCTAAGTGGAACTTATCTTACTTTTTTTTACATATTCAAATATAAAGAAGCCAAAAAAAAAATTTGTGATCTACCAAGGTTCCATCACGTGGAAATAATTGAATAAGTGAAGGTAAATAGAATGAACAGATCAAATTTGTCTGTTTTTTTCTTGTTTGTAGTACTACACTTGTAATAATATCAACGTCCATTTCGGTATTTCCTGGTACTTCTTTATGCTTTTGTAGCACAGACAACGACAAAAACCATCTTCTTCTCTCTGTCCATATAATCCATGTAAGTATCATGTAAGAACCTCAAACTCGTTCAATGAAACTCTCACGCTTTCTTTTCTTCCTCCTTCTCTCCCTCTCTCTTTTCCTCTCTGCCACCTCCCATGGAGGCAGTGATGATGATGACAAGGGTACAGGTGAAGGCAGTGAGCCTCCTCATAGCCTACGTTCCAAATCCTTGGTCTCGGTCAAGATATGGTGCTTGATTCTCGTGTTTGTAGGGACCTTCATCGGTGGGGTGTCACCATATTTCCTGAAATGGAACCAGAGTTTTCTGGTATTGGGAACTCAGTTTGCTGGTGGGGTTTTCCTGGGGACTGCTATGATGCATTTCTTGAGTGATTCCAATGAAACTTTTGAGCGTTTGACGAGTAAAGAATACCCTTTTGCGTTTATGTTGGCCTGTGCTGGATATTT